GCTTGCCTGCCCGCCGCCGCTGCTGCCAAAAGTCCCAGCGCCGCTGCAACCGCCGCGTTTCCAGCGTCTGCACACCTACGGTCCCGGAGCCGCGCACCGACTGTCGCCGCTTTGTGGTGGGGGGGGCGACCTGCGCTTGGAGTGCCCGCAGCCTCTTTGCTACCAGCTCATCCTACCTGCACTGCCGTGGTGAGACAATTCCGGCTACCCCAGCTTATAGGGGAAAATATAATCCAGCCATTCGGGCAAATCCCTCCCCTCTGCTTCCCTCACGTGAATAAGATGTGTAACTAAGGTGTACCCATATATGTTTAATGTGTTGTAATCACTCCTTTTGAACCTCCTGCCCCAAATTGCTTTGTTTTCCCCACAATAAACCTTGCTGTTGTTAGAAATTTAGTAAGCACTGAGCGAGTTATTCACTCAAAAAAGTCGGGACATAAGTTCCTGTATCCTCTGTGTGAGGCGATACCCACGTGTGGATCTCTCAGCAAATCCTGATAAGTTAATACACTCCAATAAGGAGATATAATAGGTCACGGATCGTGACAATGACCAGAAGCCTTTGTGCATCTTGTTGCTTTTCCTTTGAGTATCTAGTTATCCATGGGCTGAAGAATCAGCCCAGGAGCAGAGTCTGCAACATGACATGACTGCACAGGCCCCCTCTGCCTTTCCTTTGTCTCCTTGAATGAGTGAAAATTTTCCCTTTTGTCCAAAAGGGAGACATCTTGCAAATGGACTCTGTAGTACAAGGAAAACACAGAGTGCCCATGGGCTGCATGTGTGAGAGCTTGTGTTTGGTGCATTCAGCTTCACCAGCTGGCAAGTAAAGGAGCCTTGAAGCAGGTATGAGGGCCAGGACAGAGGCAGGAGTACCAGGCAGGCAGCGCACCTGTGCCCATACTTGGGGCACCTGCAAACATTGAAAGATTCTGCCCTAAAAAGCAACAGCAGTTGAGGGACCAGGGATGAGCCAGGTGACAATACTGAATGCCTTTCTGCATGGTTCCTTTTTCCCTTAAATTTAATCTGCTAGAAGTGGCAGCAGCGTTCAGAGGTGAATGGGTGGCTGGGGTGCATGTGTGTGTGACTCTGGGTAAGGAAGGAGCTCGCACAACATTCAGCCTGATCAAAATTGTATTCTGGTTATTCTGCAACAAGGAAAAATTTGGCATCTACACAAAGTGCAATCTGAGGTATGTGAAGATCAAAATTCACAGCTTAAAGTTGGACTTACTCCAGCTTAATGCAACTATCAATGCCTCTTCAAAAAACCGTGATCACTGATAAACTTCACTAAGCAGAGAAAGACTTAGTAGTACTTCAGCTGTGTTTAAAAACAGCTAGAAAGCTAAAACTTCTCTAAAGTAGTCTACCTTTTATCAAAAATACTTCCTTTTTCCTGTGCTTCCTGTTCCACAGATTTTTGCAACATTAGCAGTGAATGATGGCTTTTTACTATTATTAAAAGGCCAGAAATTCCACTGGAACCATCTAGTTCACCTACTTTCAGGGCATGCCAGAAAACTTACCTAAATGAAATTTTTATTCAAGTAACAGTTATGCTTGACCTAAAGCACGAGATAATTCAAATACTTCCAGGAGCACAGACAATTACAACTCCAGCAATGATTTATTATATTTGCTATTAAAAGGGTTGTTTTGATTTTAAATTGATTATACTGAGCTTTTATAAAGAAAAAAATGTCCTCAGTTTAACATATAAATGAGGAGCCTGCCTTATAGGTAAACCAGACTCTGGACTCATTTTCTTTTCACTGAGGAACTGCATAGAGCAGTAGCCTTCTCTCCCCCACCAAACCACCTTCCCAGAGAGCCCAGGCAGTTATGTAGCCATCAGCACTGGACTGGTACAAGCTAGCAAGACTGGTTGAGAGAGAGGGCATAATACCCCTTATGCTTCAGCCAATACAATCAGTGCCTAGTCCACAGCAATATGACATTTGGCTCGCTCAGAACACTGGCAGACCAATCTGAGTTTGCCAGACAGACTGCAGACATACCATCATATCTAAAGATCTTATTATTCCTTAGAGACATTTCTGCTCTACACTAAAGTGTCTTCCTTTGATTGTGTGTTCTGGGACTCTGCTCAGATTTTTTTTTCCCTCCAAGTTTAAATATGGATTTTTCTTTTTTTCCATATAAATCTGACTCAATTCTTAGCACCCAATTTTTGGACACATTCTTTAATGTAAAAAGTCGGTCAGATTTTAGACAGTTCATAGAACTTGCTATACACACAGAATATAAAGTTGAGTACAGCTCCCTATATTCTGTGACACTTGCATCCCCTAATTTAGGGATGAGAAAATAAAGTACACTCCCTTTCAATAGCACTGCAGACTATTGCATGCAGCTAATTGAAAACACAGCAATGAAAGGCTGAAAATGGGCACTGAACCATTGCAATTGAAATGCCATTTACAAAACAAGAGCAAACAATGCCAACATTGAAAGAAGGACTACATGGAAAAGGAAGTTCTAGAAGTCAACAGCTCTGACATTCACTGCATTCTTTCATGCATGCAGACAATTTTATAACTCAGATTATTATAAGCAGAGGAGCAGATTTAATGTTTAAAAGTTCAGTATAATTTGCTTTTCAGGCAGTATGAGAGTTCTCACTGTCAGGCAGTATCACAAGTATTCACACAGACAGCAAATACCCAGTTTTCCAAATGTTTACATAAACATGGTTCTGAATTTTAATGTCTTTCAAGTTTATAAAATTTTCAATTAGTTCTTTGCTATGTAGTTTTCTATAAATTTAGTCTCTACATTTCAATTAAGGTTGAACTATAAGAGAATTAAGAACAACATTATTTTTTTCTAGCAAGCTGAGTGCACAAGCCCTAGACCTGGACATTGTGCTTGTAGCTGACCCCTAACAGAAAATAGGTGAATGTAAAACTGTCAATAGCTCTATGAGTTGTGGTACAATTAGTTTAAATCAGTGTTGAAAAGATTTATGGAAGCGTACATGCTAACCAGCAACTGGCTGACAAAGTACCTATCCAGTATAAGTTGGAATAAAGTAATTTATTATGTTTTTCAAGGCAACAAGCAAATCCAGGAAGTGCCGATTTATTAAAGCATGTATTTGCATCTTTTAAGGAGGCTTTTAATTATTTGACTATTCCTGAGATTTGTGAGAAAGTGAAAAACTGTTTATATGTAGCTGGGGGCTTCACCTCTGAGGACAGGTGGTGGTATCCTGTCTCAACAACTCTCATTAGGACCCTAACTGATTTGAGGACAGCATGTAACTGAAGATTCAACCAGTACTTCAAATTCCATAAAAATGCTTACAGAATTAGGTATAAGTTAACTGCTTCTCAAGAACAGTCTGAGGAAACAGAAGCCCATTTGTCTTTCCGTTATACAAAAAATTAAATGTCAAAATGATCAGAAAAATGGATATAAGTTGATAACTTGCACTGTTATCTAAACAGAAAGACTCCATATTGCTTCATAATAGATATTCTTAATAGGAGTTCATCAGTGGGAATGCATTTACTTAATTTCATTAAGAAATGTTTTATCATTTTATCATAACTGAAAAAAACTTGTCACCATAAAAATCAGCTCACCCCAACATATCAAATTCTCTTCTCTTAAGGCATAACCTTTTGTACTTCCCACCAATAGAGAATTCTAGTATTAGTGAACACAGTAGAATTATTTTAAAGTAATTCAACGTAGTAAGTAGGCTTACTCTGGAGAGAATCTAGCATTATAAAAAGACCCTATTATTTATAAAAACTAGAATAGTTTTTCAAGTAAATATATGTTTTCACCTCATATGAACTAAGTATTGAATTATAAAATTGCTAAATCTCTAGCCTTCTAAGTGGGAAAACAAGAAGTCTCTGATGTTTGCCCAAAACTATTAGGGGCAAATGAAAACCTGAATTCTTTAATCCAAACAGTAGGAAGATTTTTTTTTAATGTTTTAAAAAGACTCAGACTAAGCTTTATTAAGTTTCTTTCAACAAATTAAATGCTTGTGAGCATTAGCAACAATACTTGAGACTTGGAACTTAAAAACCAGTCTCAAGAAGAGTGTAATGTGGAGAATCTTAAACCCAGGCACCTTGGAGGCAGAGTCAAGTGAGTTGGCGGAAAAAGAAACAAATCAATGCAGTGAAAACTATTTGCATTAAGAATAGATAATGGGCACAAACCTGTCTTTTTCGGCCACACACTGAAGCATCTCCCTGTTTCTCCACATTTTGCAAGTTGTTCAGACCTAGAAGACAATCAATATACATCCAAGGAGTCAACATTAAGGCAGTAGTTTTGCATTCTACCATTTACATGAGACAAGAACGTACATGATTTTTATATGCTTTGGCAGACTGGGAAGATGTCAGTGTCTGATTATCTAGTTATATACTTTTATATCTGTATACACGTGAATTTCACCTTAATCCAAAGACTCAGAAAGTCTGTTCAAAAGTCACTATTTTCTATGCTGTAGAGCTCACAGAAAACTTGTATTTTAAAAAATTAGGTAAAAATTGGTACATAATAATAAAGTATTGTTATTTCATGTTGATAAAAATATTTTTACTACACATACTGCTCTCATTTTTCCATTCTCACAGTGTAACTAACCAGCCATCAGAGCTATGATACTTTTTACACAGGTTCCATCATTTCCACAGAACATGTGTCAGGTACTAATTGTGGCAAACATCCAAGCATCTTAAGAGTTTGTCCTTCCAAGTACAACATGGCCACCTGCAGAGGCTACAATGTCATCTCTTTGTGGTGAGAGTAAGAGGGTGCTAATGGTTTTCAGAATCTACTTATACATATTTTATAACTCATGCTGTACATTTTAAAGAAGTAGTATCAGGAAGATGTATGAACATCTTAATTTTACACCATGATTGATTTTCCTATCAGCCAATCTCTGCAGTTCCTCTCTCCTGCAGTTAACTAGGTCTGAAGCCAGAAAGAGACAAGTTTCAGTACTCACAAAAACACAAAGCAGAAAATAGCAAATGATTTTGGAAAATGAGTTGCCAGGGAACTTTATGCCGTTTCAGTTTCCTATATGAAGCAAACCACAAATCTGCATTTGTGCAGAAGCTACACACAATCAGCAGAGTTTTTAAATCATAATAATTTTTGTATTATTCCAATCACATTGTATAGCAGTTATCAAACCACCAATTTATTGGGTGAGAGGGTGAATTGTTTGACATGAAATTGTTTTGAAAGTATAAAAATAGCTAATACTCACTCTGAAGAACACAACGTGCTCTGTGTTTCCATCCTGAACGAGGCCTGCAAGGAGCGCAAAACTTAAGTAAAAAAATCACAGAACTTCATGAAGTGCCTATGACCAAAAGCAACAAAAAATAATGTTTACCTTACTGAGGGTTTTTGTATGTCTCCAGGTGATTCACTCTGTTCCTTTGTCATTAATCTTTAAAAAAAAAAAAAAAAGGCAAAAAAATAATCCATAAACCTAGAATATTAGAATTTTTCAAAATAAAGTCAAAGGAGAGGGGAAGGAACTGGGCTTCAAGTTCCACTAGCATTTCCTAGAAGTGTGTCTAATTGTTTTGAGGGTTCCAATTGCCAGAGCCATGAAGCACCAGAACTATTTTCCATAACACTAATATCAAGGGAACTTTATGTTTAGCTATAAGGAAAAAGTAATAAAGTAATCCCCTTTCCTTAGCCTCTTTCTTTTCCAGATGACCTACAGCCTAAAATTAGGAGGGCAGGACTAAAAAGAGCTCAATCAAGAACAGAGAAAAAGAAGTATCCTAATGTTTTTATTGTTATACAAGACTGACAGCTGTTTAAACTGAAAAATGTGCATCTGCAGCAAATACTTAACACCAAGCCACTTGATGTAAATGCCAAGAGTAACAACCACAGAAAAGCCAAAACTTAAAAATAGAGTATGTACTTGTAGTTTATTTTCTATTAGAAAACAGTTTGGAATTTTATATCCTTCCTTCTACCTACTTAGTTCTACAAGTTTCAAGTTACTGTCCAAACACATGCCTCAGCAGTAGAATGCTGAATACAAACCTTTGTTTTGTTTCCAAATTACTTCCGTCATTTTCCTTGACACAAATAGTTTTGCTTTCCAGTGCTTCTGCTTCCAATCCTTTAGACTCTACCTGTTTTGTGGCTGCCTGTGAGAAATGGAATCAATACTTTAAAATTAAAGGCAGTCAGTACCCAGATAGTAGTTGCATGAAGATTAATGTGTGTACTCCCTATCAGAACTAACAGTGCTGATTTCACAGTATCCCCCCAGAGGGTAATTTAAAAAAAACAAAACCTGTAGTGTGTTAAGTTGATACTATTTGCAGTCTTGATAAATTTCAAAGCACTCCAAAGTCTGTTTTTTTAATAACTAGCTTAGAAACTGAAACTGACAGGCCTCACAAGTTTATCTAATTCTGTAGCATGGCAGGTTCAGAAATACCTATAAACACTTTCAAAAAGACATCTGTCTAATCAGACTTTAGGTTTGTAATATAACCTTTCCTGCATCAGCAAAAGAATCTTGCAACACCCTGCTTAAACTTTTAGTCATAAAGATTATTTCTCATTTATTCCCAAAAGGATAGCATAGTTCATCCCTTTATAAAAAGGGCCTAGGGAATCATAAGATTGGTACTTTTCCTGATTCCTCCCATCTACTTGCTCTAGTAAATAATACCTTCAAAAAAAACCCCAAGAAGAAAACAAACCAAGTAACTTAGCCCACAATAGAAATTAGTTATGAAAGAAAAAGCATTCAGATAAATGCTTTCTTGGTATAGCTCCTTTTCCTGTGTGATGCATTATCTGCAGACTGCTCTTCTTACAGCTAACCTATAAGAGTTTATTGAAGTGCAAGAACTTCATCAATTATAGGAGCTGCAATCTTGCAGATACCAAGCTTGAAAATAATCCAGAAAAAAGCATCTACAAAATGGTCCAGCAATGTTGACCACCTTATGCTTCTACATAAGGCACCAGAAGACAGAAAGGAGATGAACAGTTAAAGCTGGGTGTTTATCTTCTGTCGGGAACACGGGGTACTCTGCAGGCAACAGTTGCATGCATTGCACAGCAAAAACGGGAAGTCTTCACAGAGTGGTCTCCTATGCGTTCCAGGGTAACACAGTTCAAGTAAAAAGACTTCAGAAATATTTGAAACATGGATGTAGACAGCAGGAAGGATGTGCAGGCAGTGAGGTTGCAAAACGGAGGGCCTAGGTATGCTAGTATGGCATTTTGGGCCTTGTCCAACAGCTCCAAGCCTCCAGCTCCTCTTAGACACAAAGAAATAGCCTTGAAAACTAAGTTTTAAAACTGACAGCTGAATGAAAGCATTAAAAGGTATTCCTTGTATTTGAATAAATTTAATAACTTCTCCAGTCTCTTTCTGCTAAGAAAATGAAAACCCCAGAGGAACCTGAGACTTGTTTATTTAAAATTTGCTCCTTATTGCCTTTAGATGTTTGTGCTTTTGCAATTGAATAGTTCAATATTCTTTTATAGGAAGTAAACATAAGAGAAATTCTTCACAATCCTCTTGAAGATAAGCTGCATGAGGAATATGGTTCTTGCCAGTTTTAAATTACTTTTGAGCAAGAAGCTTTTTTGTTTACAGGAAAACAGCAATAATAGTCTTCTAGCTCCTAGCTAAAGCTTTTAGCAAAATTAACACTTCTTGATCTTTTAGTTTTGGCATGAGAAGTCAGACTTATAGTTAGAAATATTCAAGATACAGATTTATTTTAAGGAGTCTCAGATCAGAACTGCTTCTCTTATACAAACTAATGACAGACCTTGTTTTAATTATGCTTTTTCCTTAACTATTTTTCAAATCACACTTTCCACAGTTTTCCACAGTTGTGGAAGAAAACGTTTTAGGAGTCTTAATCCTACTAACTTTCTTCTAAAAATATATTCAACTTTTTTTTTTTTTTCATAAGACAATCCAGAGGAAGATAAAGCCTTTTCATCTAGTAAAATAACTGCTCATTGTCTAAACAATTCCCTTGAAAGTATGAATCTGTTTAATCTTATCAGGAATCTCTTTTGAAATAAGATTTGAAAACAGTTTCGACATACCTGTATTAAGAAGTTAGTTTCATTTTCTTTCATGAAAAGTTCAGTATAAGACTTGATTTTACTTATCAAAAGATTGTAACTGAAGCTTTGAAGAAGGGGAACATATGGATCCTTGCTTTTAATTATGGTTGACAGCTTCACCCTTAAACGCTAAGAAAAACACAGCTTTATACAACACAAGAATATATCCTGCAGTAAACTTGGCTCCTATGTTAAAGAGGACATACACAAACCTAAACAAGATGATTATATAGTTTTCTGACTATGCCTATACAACCTCATGCTACAGTTCAAGAGGGTTCTGAAGTTAACTAGACATAATACCAGTTACCATTTACTGAGCTAATAAAGTGTAACTTTTCAAAGATGCGAATTTTCATTCCCTTTAGAAATAATACTAAAAGCAGGGTTGTCAATGGAATAAAAAGGCTCAGAGAAGTCCACTTATCACTGGGTTCTCTTTTCTCATTTGCTGCCTCAAAAAGATAGAGGTTTACAGTGTGCAGGAAACGGACTACTTAGTACAGCAGCATTAAGGACACATCGATACTGATAATCACAACTTCAGATTTTGTCTACCAATGACTGAGTCTTAGAGAGAAAAATATAACCAAGAATTAACTTCTGTGTACAGGCTGCATTCTTATTCATGAATCTGAATACTACTGCCACAGCCCACAATTTCCAAACATTTGAATGAAGAGTGTATCCAAACACTAAATGGTACACATGGTTTACATAGAACATGTGTCCTAATACACCAGAGGAAGACATAGGCAACTTTCTGCCTTTTTTCTTTCGGCCTTGTAGTTTCCCTCTTGTTCTTTTCTCCACCCTAGCAAATTTAAGTTTGTGCACTAGCTATTATTTTAAATAGACATGGCGCTTGAACTTGCATCTTTCTCAATGATTTCAGAGTCAATGTCAAACCAGGAAGTGGCCTGATACACATTATCTTCTCCGAACAGAAGCATAATAATATCCACTCTGTACTACAGATGCTAATGAGCTTTTCTTCCCTGTAATGTCAGTCTGCAGAACACTACTCAAGAGATGTGACAAAGTGCACTGCAATGGTTCAAAAAAATTCAACAGACATTACTAGAGGGTTACTCTATCTCTACCACCATGTTTATACTGTCTTAACTCTGAGAAAATAGCAGTATCAAATCCCCAGAATCTGTAGTGACATCTCCCTCATACGAAACGGGAAAGAAGTTTGCACTGCTGCTGCTAGAACCATTTTATTCCTCTAAATCTCTCATTATTTTTATCAATCCCATAGTCACTAATTTCCTTTTTTTTTTTTCTTTTTTACAAGTGCCATGGGTGTGTAAGTGACTACATGAGCAGCAATTAGGACAAAGCCATGGAGGTAGCATTTACTAGCTTTTGAAACCCATTCCCCTCTTCTCTGAAAATGAGTTAAATGCAAGTTAAGCAATTTACTACCTTATCTGATTCGGAGTCCAAAAATATCCTTTCAAGAACTTCAGCAGCTGCCTTGAAATACCCTTTTTCCATATACACTGCTACAATCTACAACCAATATAAAGATATGCTGAAATACATTGAGATTCATAAAAAACAAGAGCAGTCACACTTTTACAATTTTGTAAGACTTCAAAAATCCAGAGGATTATATATTTAAGAATTACCAACAATTATCTTGTTACAGCTGTTAGTTTTGAAGCAATACTAAACCTTATGTATGCCTAAAACCTCTTCATCTGGCATTTAAAAGGACCCTTGTTGATGCAAAATGTCCCATACTTCTTAAGTATTGCTTTCTTCTTTCTCTAAAATAATTTCAGAGTTATGATAGCTGTCATAATTCTTGTGCATGTTTCTCATTGAAATAAAAAGTCTTCTAAAATAAATAATTATTTGAGGAAAAAAAAAAAAAGCAGCTACTTATATATTAAGGCTCAAGATACTAGTGTTTTAAAATCGATCTCTCAATTGATACCTTGTTTTTTTTTCAGGTGGGCAGCTTTTGAAATACTTTTGAACTGGTACATAAAAAACTAATTTAAATAGGATCCCTGTACAGATCTACTAGCTTGAAAGTACAACAAACTAGAAAATTTAGTTCAGCCTGCTAATAGCCAAGACGTTTTGCAAAAAGAGCCCCGTTTTATCAGAACAAGTAGGTAGTATCCCAAAACATTTTGATTAAGTCACACAGACCTGAATTTGAATCAAGCGATGAATATCTTCATGTAGCTTTTCCAGCTTAATTTCTTCCCTTTCAAGTAAAGTCCAGAAAGACAGAGCAGATTCCAAAGGTGAAATTCTTTGATCATTTTCAAAATGGCATTCTTGGGAGAGGGGTGCGGGGAGGAAGGAAAAGGTATTAAAAAACTTAAAAGGATAAAGCTAACATTACATTATGTATACAGAGTAAAGTAATATGTACTATACATACTATTCATTCCTTTTTCATCAAATTACTTTTAGTGTCTCCCTTCAGGTGCTTAAGAGACCTGATGCAATTGCCTTCTCATTAGAGAGACTGGTTCTTCCTGCTCTTGCTAATAATATTACTGTTGCATTTTTAGGGCAGGTTAGGTGTGCTAATTATTGTTCACTTAAAAAGCTACTTGCAAAAAATTCTAAGTTCAACATCATGTATTTGGGCTGGCATTAATAATACTCATACATTAAGTTGGGCATTAGTTTGGTACGTTAGTTTGGTAAGTTAATTTTTTTAATATAACTACTAACCTAAGTTTTTTTTGTTTTGTTTTTCCCTTGACTTCTCTCTTGAGTCTCCCTGTATTTCCATTCCTCATCTTCAGTTATATTTTAAGGGGTTAAATAGCTTAACACAGGAGTGTTACTGCTTTTCAGTGTCACTGAAAAAACAGAAGCAACCTCCCATGTCTTTGTACTGCTGTGCCAACAGCAAAGTCTGTGCCAACTCACGGCAAGCAGGATCAGTGACCAGTTCTGGCAGAAATCTAGCTCAGCCAAATAACCACCTCCTCAACGCTCTAGAAACAGTTTCCCAGCCTGGTCAGTGCACATCTGCACAAGTGAGTGTGCCAACATAGCAGATGCAGTAGGACAAGTGCACAAGACTGCTTTGTTCACATGGTACTGCCAGCTTAGCTCAAGATGTTCACTGAGATACAGTCTCACTTATTCTTTCATTTTATATGACAGCATAGCAGAATCTCTCTTATTATCTTCTTGTTCCTTATAGTTGGTATTTTTCAGGAAGAAGGTAAAAAATTTAATACTAAAAAAAATAGACTCCTGCTACAGTAAAAGACACACTGAAAATTTTAGTATTATATGTATATATACACATTAAAGTAATAACACTTACATGCTTCTCTAATTGCTTCAATCACATAATATGACATTTCAAATTAGGTTTATTCTAATATTGTAAAAACAAAGTGTTAAACTCTTTAAGAGTTGGCATCCAAAGCAGCCTACTCTGCATTAAGGCTATTTTTTAATAACTGGAAAATAATTAGGAAAGCTACAATACATTAGCTTTCCATGTACACTGTGCAACTACACTACTAGGCACATGCAATCTTCCTCAAACTGGTTATTCTCTACATTGACAGCTAAAAACACACATTAAAGTCATATTCAAGTGCTACATACAACAATATAGTTTTGAAGCATTATCAGAAAAGTTTAATCATTCGTATATGATAGACTAATTAAATATTAGAATTTGATTGTCAAGTTGAACATTGTTATTACCTGACAAGCAACAGAAGAATTTTCATTCTATAAAAACAAGCCTTTGTGGCACTGCTAGGCTAGAATACACTTTTTTTTTCTTCCATGCTTAAGCTGGCAAAAAAGCAAAAAAGTCTTCCAGAAACTTGAGCATGGAAGCAAAAATAATTTGGCTAAACCAGTAAGTTGTGAATACAGCCAAACAGGAGACATGGTAGTGAATAATAGTCCCAGGGACTTGCTGCTAGCTGAAAGTCTTGCAGTCTTCTGTAAGAACCAAGGGCAGTCATCCTTTTCATCGATATTCTTATTCCTGTCCTACTTTGACCTCTAGAGTTGTATGTGCAGAAAGAAAACCACATTCAGTCCTTGCAGCTATTGCTCACTAAGAGCTAGTCCCTCTTTTCCAGTGTCTCTTTTGCTGATGCTACTCTGACAATCAGTCAGCACAGAATAACACTGGTCCTGCAAACACCTCAGTCACCTGTGCAATAGAAACAGTCTAAAATGCAGAGTTCAGTAATTTTATTTATATATACATATAGAGTAAAGGTTATGTGAAAGCATACTTATGTGAATTTATGTAAATTTATTTAAACAAGTGAAAAAAAACTGATCAGAGTATTTACCAAGATTTTTTCCTTTTGAAATTCTTATCAAAAGCTGACAGAGATACACCATTTTTATCTGATGTGTAGGTGTTTTGGAGAGGCCATTAATAAGAGCTGGAAAAGAAGAGAAAAGTTGTTAGTCTTGCTCCAGCACTGCCACAGTGTGGCTAGAATTATACTAGACACTTACCAGATTTTAATAATCTACTACATTTGTAATTCATTAGAAAACTGATGAAGCACATTTAGTTAACATTCTTCCATGTTAAAAGAACTGAAATTTTATTTAAGTATTTGACCAGAAAAACCTATCCTTCTTGCAGTTCACAACAGTAACCTACAAGTGGCAAGATGCATCACAGGCATTAGAAGACAGTAACTTACATAAATAAATGAAGTTTTGCTCTGCTCATAGCTGACTATGATAGACAATCATCTGCTCCTGAGAACATTTTTGTGGAATGGCAGCAAAACACGAGGCACATGCAGACTGGTAACACATATTGCTATAGCAACCAACAGACCAAAAGCAGTAAAAACTATACAGAGAGCTTAGTCAGAAATGTACATCTACAAGGGCAATCCTCCTACCAGGGTTGCAAGAACTGTTACATATTTTAAAATGGAAGCTATCAAAAGATTGTTTGCATAATGGTTACTGTGAAATTCATATTTTAATGTGCTGGATATAGTAATTGGTGTTGACAGCATAACAGAAATATTCACAATGAAAAATGAAGAATGTGTCAAATGACTTGTCTAAGCTGCCAATGGAACACCCCAGTTCAGCAAGTATTTTATATTTCAGTGTCAGCCTAGCAAAAAAAAGGATTCTGGAACATGGGACCCCAAGTTTCACAATTACACAACTAGAGCACGTAACATACTGTTTTACTTGGAAATACTTAGCTTACTTGCTTATTAGTGTATGATTGTCTCCTATGAACAATGGATAAGCATGAAATTACAAAGTAATTAGATAGCCCCGAATGACTACCTAAGCTAACATCAAGCGCGATATTGTCTTTTAGGCTTGGAAGAACACATTTACAGCTCCTTCAGTGAGGACAGGTGATACAAGAACTTTTCATTCCTATAGCCAAAACAGGAAGCAAGAAAAGAACATGGCTTACAACAGCAGTAAAGTGCCATTCGTTACAATCAGAAAGTTATGCATCTTCAATAGCAGACAATCGAGTTGAATTTCAGAAAGTTTGGTTTAGTATAATGATAGAAATAAGCACCATCATCATGCCCTGAAGGTGGAGCCAGAGCTTGGAAATTTTGGAAAGAGGCAGAATACTGAAGCTGAAGGATTCCTACAGAACAAAAGGGCCATCTTAGCAAGTAGCTTAAGATCTTTCGGATTTCTTTTTTCCTTTAAGGTACATCTACGTTAGTCCTTTTAATTCAGAGCAGGGCTGCGTTTTTAAGGCAAACTTCCCATGCTTGGTTTGTACAAAGGAGCAGTTTTGAGTACACAAATTGAATTCCTTTAGAGCTATTCCAATGAAAAAGAAACTTTGAAACGTTCATTGTGTGGACATCAGGTCCTTAGCAGCAATTACTCACAACTAATGCAGACAAACAGAAAGAGACATAGCTGTAATTACCTTTTCTAGCCTCTTCTCCCTCCCTGTCCCCAAGGCACTTTTGCTTTGAATTCTTTCATTAAGAGTGCCCTAAATCATAAATTGCTTTCCTCTCTACAACCACTCAAATATATTTGTCAGTCTTTCATTACAAATTCTGGAAATTCAGTTCCTTGCCACACAGATACCTACACAAGCTAGCTCAGGTATTTAGACCATAATATTGTGCTAAGACATGATAAGGGAGGCAAGTCACGTAACCTTGCCATTCTGTCTTTAAATCCTTAATCCCAGGTAACCTAGCTATTTCTATAAGGTAGTGTACCGAACTGTACAAAAATATTGTTTATCTTCTAGACAGGGTTTTGGTTTTTTTGATCATGGGATGCTATATGAGGCACCTGGACTGATGGTAGCAGGTGGGATGCACCTGTCCCAGAGGAGGAAGAGGCTTTTGGGGCAGGACTTGGCAGGGCTCATTGATAAAGAGGGAATTTAAAAGCATTTTAAAATGCAACATTTAGATAAAACAAATAAACAAATAAATAAGTGGTTATAATAGAAAAATAAAAATAAAACAAAATATGGGATAATCTGAAATATTCTCTTCCATTTTTTTAAATTTGAACAACAGAAGCTGTTACCTGTCCTACCTTACTCCTAAACACTGAAACCCAGAAAGAAAAAACAAGGGACAAAAAAACCAAACCATTTTACACTCCTACAAAATTACACATATTTATATTTCAAAGAATCATTGCATTCTAATTATTCACAGTACTGCTATGACTTTTCACTCTACTTTGAATTTCTTCCCCTTAATAGCAAGTCTCCTTGCTTTCTCTTTTAATGTAGCAATACTACAGAATCTAAAAGAAGAAAGGTAAAGAAAGAGAGAAAGAAGGATAGACTGAGAGTGAAAAGCCTGACAACTGTGTAACAAACAAGAACATAGTAGAAAAAAAATGTATTGTACTGAAGCTGAAAATTCTTTTTGAAAAATGTCAGAAGACCAGGTAGATTATTAAGCAATACAGTAAGATAATTATTTGTTTGCCTTGTTTGTACAATATTAACTACCTAATTTGTAAGGCATGGTGATAGAATTTAAATGCTAATAAAATCTTAACTGAGCTGATGTAATCACAACAAAACAGATTTTATATGAGTACATATCCTGTGTGGAAGGAACAAAATACCCAGCAGGACCAGAACCCTGGACTTCCACAGGGCAAACTTTGGTCTCCTCAATCATCTATTAAGGGAAATCCCATGGGACAGGGTGCTAGAAAATAAAGGAGCTCAAGATAGCTGGTCAACATTCAAGGACCACTTCTTGCAAGCACAGGATCAGAGTGTCCCAATGGTTAGGAAATCTAGTAAGGGTGCTAGGAGACCTGCATGGTTAAAGAAGGAACTACTGGGCAAACTTAAGTGGAAAAGGAAAATCTATAGATCATGGAAGGAGGGGCTGGTCACTTGGGAGGAATATAGGACTGTTGTCAGAGGATGTAGGGAGGCAATTAGGAAAGCTAAGGCCTCCTTGGAACTTAACCTTGCAAGTCAGGTTAAGGATAATAGAAAGGGCTTTTTCAAGTACATAGCTAGCAAAACTAGCAATAGAGGCAATATTGGCCCATTGAGGAATGAGGTGGGAGCCCTGGTGACAGAGGATATAAAGAAGGCAGAGGTGCTGAATGCCTTCTTTGCCTCTGTCTTCACTCCTGCAGGGTCTCCCTATGAGCCCCAGATTCATATAGCCCCAGAAGAAGTCAAGATAGAGGAAGAGTTTGACATGGTAGATGAGGATTGGGTTAGGGATCAGTTGAGTAATCTGGACATCCATAAATCAATGGGTCCAGATGGAATGCACCCAAGGGTGCTGAGGGAGCTGGCGGAGGTCATTGCTAGGCCACTCTCCATCATCTTCAGTAAATCATGGGCAACAGGTGAGGTGCCTGAGGACTGGAGGATAGCAAATGTCACTCCAGTCTACAAGAAGGGCAAGAAGGAGGACCCGGGTAACTATAGACCGGTCAGCCTCACCTCCATCCCTGGAAAGGTGATGGAACAACTTGTTCTTGTGACTATCTCCAGGCACATCAAGGACATGGGGGTCATCAAGAGCAGTCAGCATGGTTTTATCAAGGGTAAATCATGTTTGACTAACCTCATAGCCTTCTATGAGGAAATTACTAGGTGGATAGATGATGGTAGAGCGGTAGATGTGGTTTATCTTGATTTCAGTAAAGCATTTGACACCGTCTCCCACAGCATCCTTGTGGATAAGTTGATCAGGTATGGGTTTGGTGACCAGGAAGTGAGGTGGATTAGGAACTGGTTGAAAGGAAGGAGTCAGAGAGTTGTAGTCAATGGGGTAGAATCTGGTTGGAGGTGTGTTACTAGTGGAGTCCCACAAGGGTCGGTGCTGGGACCGGTGTTGTTCAACATCTTCATCAACGACCTGGATGAGGGTATAGAATGTACCCTCAGCAAGTTTGCTGATGACACTAAGCTGGGAGGAGTGGCTGACACACCAGAAGGCTGTGCTGCCATTCAGAGAGACTTAGATAGGTTGGAGAGTTGGGCGGGGAGAAACATGATGAAATTCAACAAGGGGAAGTGCAGAGTTTTACATTTGGGGAAGAACAACACCATGTCCCAGTACAGGTTGGGGGCTGAACTGCTGGAGAGTAGTGTAGGTGAAAGAGACCTGGGGGTCCTGGTAGACAGGAGGATGACCATGAGCCAGCAATGTGCCCTTGTGGCCAAGAAGGCCAATGGCATCCTGGGGTGCATTAGAAAGGGTGTGGTTAGTAGGTCAAGAGAGGTTCTCCTCCCCCTCTATTCTGCATTGGTGAGGCCACATCTGGAGTATTGTGTCCAGTTCTGGGCCCCTCAGTTCAAAAAGGACAGGGAACTGCTCGAAAGAGTCCAGCGCAGAGCTACGAAGATGATTAGGGGAGTGGAACATCTCCCTTATGAGGAAAGGCTGAGGGAGCTGGGTCTCTTTAGCTTGGAGAAAAGGAGACTGAGGGGTGACCTCATCAATGTTTACAAATATGTAAGGGGTGAGTGTCAGGGGGACGGAGTTAGGCTTTTCTCGGTGATGACCAGTGATAGGACAAGGGGTAATGGGTGTAAATTGGAGCATAGGAGGTTCAAGGTGAATATCCGAAAAAATTTTTTTACTGTGAGAGTGACAGAGCACTGGAACAGACTGCCCAGGGAGGTTGTGGAGTCTCCCTCACTGGAGACATTCAAAACCCACCTGGATGAGTTCCTGTGTGATGTACTCTAGGTGACCCTGCTCTGGCAGGGGGGTTGGACTAGATGATCTCTCGAGGTCCCTTCCAGCCCCTAAGATTCTATGATTCTATGATTCTAATAAAATGACTCATCTTGTTCCCTTGGCCTTTCTACAGTTCTACAGTTCCTTCAGTTTGGACTGACCTTATTGACAGCCAATCATTATTTCAGTAGGGTCTCACTTTGACACATACAAGAATAGTTCTGTATTTCTGTATTAAAAATAAACACCACCCACTTTTCTAATGCAATCTTATACCTGTGCTTAGCTTTTTCAATAGATTTTTAGACTTCTGACTTTGTAATCTTATAGCATCAATTTGTCCAACTCTTTCCTCTGTTGCTGAACAGAACAGGAACAAATTCCAAATTTCCTATTAGTTCCCAGTTGTCTGTGAACCTTGCACTCTCTAAAAATTACTTAATTTTTAATACTACTACAGTCCTCAGAAAGTCTTGGTGTTATCTAACTACATCTTCACCAAATTTCTTTGAGTCTTCTCCTTGAGATACAGTCCCAAGGCCACACACTGAGAAGCACCATTACTGATTTAATCTAGCAGCTCATCATACAATGGATGTCATTACGTTATCTTTAGATTTATTACCTCTTACAAGTTCTCATATCGATCTCCTTAATTCTACACAGCATTACATTCAATTCTTTGCAAAAGTTTAAACAAGTGATGCTATCACATTTTCTTGACTCAAGAACACACAAAAAAATCCCAAAAGATCTAACCTAATATCCTCAGGAAAATTACTGGCACAGAAGAACCATCATAAATCCATCAAGTTTATCTAAGACCCAGATGTTTTCTTCCAGCTGTTAACTACTCTTACTCTTCAATATTTTAAATACATGTTTTTCTATTCACAATCCCACCGCTAGACTTCATTCTATCTTCACCTGCTAGACTATAGTTCCTTAAAATACTTCTAGAATTCTAGGCAAACCCTGAATACAAACCTGAGAAACTCAGCTTATTTAAGTTATTCTACACCGATTTTTACCACATTCATATCTCTTCACTAAAGCCTCTTCAAGTTTTCAGTAGCCTTGAACTCTCAGTACCTAAGGCTTCAGTGATCACTGGTGGTATATACACAACCACATTATACATTCAAGCTTTATAGAATCAAGATGACAGACTAACACCAGTGCTTGCACTCATGTAATCACATAAAAGATCTCACCCCCAATTCATCAGTAACAACTGTTTTATGTATCAGTTCAGTGTGCTCCCCTCCCTAGTCTTATTTGACTAAAACAGCACATTTCCCCCAAACCGATTATCTTAAAATACTCCAGCAAAGCTGCCACTGCATTCTAAACTCAAACAGCAGTGGATTAAAAAGAAATATATATATCAACCACTCTGCACTGTTTTAATAGAACCATAGAATGGCTTGGGTTGGAAGGAACCTAGATCATATAGTTACACCCCCCCTGGATGGGCAGGGGCACCTCCCACTAGATCAGGTTGCCCAAAGCCCCATCCAACCTGGCCTTGGACATTTCTAGGGAGGGGGCAATTTTTATTTGCACTACACGCAAATGCCGCGGATACTGTTAAATCTCCCCCACAGACTGCCCTGTATCATTCTAGGAGTCTTCTTACGTCCTCAGAAGTCCTGAAAACCTCCTCAACAACAGTGACGACGACCACCATCAGACGGCTAAAGGCACGTCCACAAAGAAAAGTTCACACAGAACAAAAAGTAAGGGCAGAAGCACTTCTAGTGCCCTAGCTCACTCCTTAATCTGCTACCCCTCAAACTTGCAGGACCCGCTGCCTTCAGAGCCATAACCGCCCGCCCCCTCAGAGCCCCCCCGAAGCGCTACCGGCCTCACCCTGCGCCACATCCCCCCACCGCTGCAGCTCCGCCGCGCAGTCCTCC